TCGTATATTAAATATTTTTATAAATAATAATCTTAAAGGCAACAAACCATATTCACTATGTACAAACAATAAACAAAAATAAATAAATAAATAAACAATAAATAAAAAAATAAAATAAATAAAATAAACAAATAAATAAAAGAAAGAAGAAAAAAAAAGTTAAGAAAAGAAATGATACCAAATGAGTTGAATCTTCGAATATGATGATCAAGAAGGTGCTTTTTGGCTACCTTTCACACTACAGAGGTGCCTCACAGATCTCAAGAAATACAAAAGAGAGAGGGGGAGAGAAAAAAAAAATTTCAAGCTTTAAAGAGTATTGGACGAAATTTTTCTGCGTACTGGAAACAGTGCCCCAGACGTCAATTTATAGACGTCAGACCTGACCAGAACGGCCCGTTCCAAAATCGGAACAGCCCGTTCTGAAAATGGACGTTATGTGTTAAATGTGAATCTGGAACGGCCCGTTCTAAATTCAAAACGACCCGTTCTAAAAGCGCAACGGCCCGTTCTAAAATTCGGAACGGCCCGTTCCAGATAAGGAAATTTAGGCCTTTTAACTGACTTGGAACAGCCCGTTCCGAATTTGGAACGGCCCGTTCTGGGCTACTTAACATTTTTTTTTTGCTTCAAACTTCCTTGTTGTCACCTTCATACTTTGAGAGCTCCTCCTCTTCATAATAGATGTCCATTTTATTAATTTTGTGAGTCCGGATAAAATTGATTATTCACAGTTGCCCCTCTTTAAATAATCTAAATAAGGTAATTTAGATCATTTGTGATAAGAAATAAATAAAGATGTGAATTAATTTTATCTAGCTACCCAAGACATAGCTCTTATTGTTGATGAAATAAGTTCTTGAAAGATTCAATGCTTTTGCTTGAACAGTCCAATGCTAGAATGTTGTGTTGGGATCATCAAGTGTTAGTGTTGGATCAACCAAATGTTAATGTTGAATACTTGTGGTGGAGGAGTTGAATGCTTGTGCTTGATCAACCTAATATCAATGTTTGAGAGTATATTTTCTTCACTATTAGTTAAGTATAATAATTTGAGATTGTTACGATTTCTTTCTACCTCATTTTCATATAAGTATTGAAACAAAAATTAACAAAAATTGAAAGAGAGTTAAAAATCATGGGCAAATTATTTCTATTTTGTTCTTTTTAAAATTGTTGGTTTTAAGATTTTTTTTAAACATTAGAAAAAAGATCAGTTCACCAAACACATTGTTTAGTTCTTTTGTTTCTAATCAGCTCATCAAAGATCCCCAACTAAAATTAGGTTATTTGATATGATGTTTTATAGGTTTCTGAACCAATCAACAGCGACAACTAGATTTTTGTTGATTTGAATGTTTGATAGAATTAAGTTTGATGAAAAGACGTTTTTCAAAACCAATTAAAATCATATATATACAGACTGAAGTAGGTTTTTTTGTTTGAAACAATTGTGTTTTTAATTTTAAAACATGCTTTTCTAAAAACTTAATTTAAAAAATCAAAAAAATTGTTTAGAATAAAAAAATAAAACTTATTCTTAAAAATAATTAAAGAAATTTTTTTAAAAATGTACTAAATAAAAAAATTGTTTGGAATGAAAAATAAATCATTTATCCAAGACAAGTGAGTTTTTATTTTATTTAGGAATGATAAATAATTTCTTATTGGTGAGTAATATCCAAACTCATCCTAACTTTAATAAGGAATATTCGATTTAATCGGACAAAAAAAATGCTTAATTTATTAAATCGATTATGAAGATAGAGATGAATATATGCATGTTCGCCTCCTTCACGTGCCTGCTTGAAATTTTTAGAAACTTAGCTTATTATTTTTTAAAAATTTACTTAATATGTATGTAATTCTTACTCTATTTTTAAATTTATTTCAAATAAAATTTAATTAATATAAATTTTTAATTGCTATTCTATGTTAAAAAATTATATTTTTTTGTAAAAAATATTTAATTAATTTTTAAACAAATGTGAAACAAGTACATGTATACTTAATACCTGACGGGAACAAAGATAGGATGCAAATTTCATATTTATGAAGCATGGGAATATGAATTGATATAGAGTATGAAAACAAGGACAAGGATATTGAAACCCGCATTTGTCTCAACTCATTGTCATGCCTATTTTCATCTATCACTTGTTGTTTTTATTTAAGATTCAAAAGGAAAAGTGAGTGGTGGACTTATGCTCATTTAGAAGTGAACAAATGCATACCTCACTCTAATTAAATTAATAGTATATGTTTAAAAAAAATTATTTTGTACTCTTGATTTCATATATTAAATTCATCGATAAACATTTTTAATATTTATGTTTTTATCTTATAGATGATAATAATAATAATTATTATTATTAACTTTTATTTTTACTAAAAAATTGCATCCACTGCCACTGATTATTGTCATTAAAAATCTAAAGCATTGTTTAGCCTTTGTATAAGAATCAGTAAAAAAAAATATAATAGAGTTAATTACCTATATACATATCTTTTAATTGTGTCATGTCATGTCACTATAAACACATTTATTTTTAACAGTGACATGTAACAATTAAAAGATATAATTAGTTGCCGGTGTAAAATTTTTTTTACACTAACAATGTATAAGTGATTAACTCAATACAATAACTACTTTTAAATAAAATTACTTATCCCAATTTAATGAATATTGATAAAATATTGGTATAATTAGTGTTAAGAGTAATTTAGAAAAATATAAAGAGTAAATAATGATCAAATTAATTCCTAAAATTTATGTCACTTTCAATTTAATCTCTAATTCTAATAAGATTAAAAAATGTTCTTGAAAATTTATTATGCTACTCATTTGAGTCTTTCTATTAAATAAAATTTGTTCTCTTAAACAAAAAGGCATACCTGATACAATAATGTAATGTTACATACACATCATACATATGTGGGTTGGCACATGTCATGTGAGTGTCACGTGGAGTATATGTATCACATTACATATAACTATAACACTATCATTTTAATCTTTAAAATTGTAACACTATTATTTTAATCCTTGAATTGTAATACAATGTCACTTTAATCTTTGAAAATATAACTCAATGTCACTTTAGTCCTTAGAATTTTAACTAGACAGCACTTTAGTCCTCAAACGTCGTCATTTTATTTTAATTAGGTAATTATGACTTTAATATTTACACAATAAAATAGATAATTAAGTTAATATTGTAAATATAATGACAAACATAACAAAATTGCACTTAGAAGGTATTAGAGGACCATCAAACAAAACAATAAAAAGAGAAAAATAATAAATAAAAAAATAAATATTATACGGTATGTAACACTTTTAAAATATGTTATTGAATATATTAATCTTTCTAGAAATAATATTAATTTATATAAGGAAATTAATTATGAAAATAAAATATAAATATTGAGAAGTTATAAATTATTTTTATTTATGTATTTTAAATAGTGAAATGGATAAAAATGGGGGAAAATTGATGATAGAAAAAAGAGATATAGCATATTTAAAATTAAAAAAAAAACTAATATTTTAACATGTGCAATACATGCACATATTAAATATTTATTATATATAACTAAAATTTAAAATAAACTATGTATATAAATAAGTATTATGTTTGAACATATAAATTATATATAAAATTTGAATAATAATTTATTTTAAAATATTAAAACTTAACTCATAAATATTTATGATAAATAAAAATTAAATTAGATATGAAATAAAAAAATCATAAAAACACTATCACTAAAGGAAACATCTCCTAAAAGGCTAAAATTACTCTTGTAAAATATAGTGGTTCTTGTTTTATACATAGAAGTCCATACTAATGTTAAATACCAAAATTTTAATATGATTTGAATATATTTATCATCCTATTTGTAATATTAATTTAATTATCTATTTTATTTTTAAAATATTTAAATCATAATTATTTAATTAAAATAAAATTATAACAATGTTTTAGGACTAGAGTAATGTAGAATTAAAACTTTAAGGAATAAAGTGATATTGAGTTACAATTTCAAGAACAAAAGTGATATTGAATTACAATTTTAAGGACTTAAATGATATTGTATTATGGTCATATGTCATGTGGTACATATACGTTATGTGACATCCTCACGTGACATGTGTTACTCTATATATGTACCATGTGTATGTCACATGACATTATCATGTCACGTGTGTTTTCGTTTAAGAAAATAGATCTTATTTAACAGAAAGACTTAGAGTGATAAATTACACTTTTATGAACTTTTTTGAGTTTCATAAAAATCAGAGACTAAGATAAGAATGACATACAAATTCAGAAACTAATTTGATCATTTACTCAAATATAAATTTAAAATAAATTTAATAATATCAATTAAATTAATTATTTTATTTGAAAGCAATCAATCAATTTTTTTAATTACAGTGAATTAGATAATTTGTTTTATTAAAAAGACAAAAAAAATATATTATGGTGTAATTTTTTTTTAACAAAAAAGCATAATTTCCTATTATAATTAAAAAATATTTTAAATAAAATAAAAAATATTTTCTTTAATACAAAAGAACTAATGATAATATAATTTATCACCTATTTGTTATAAAAATTTACTGAAGGGTAATATTTGCGAGACTACAACCGAATATACTTTTTTCCTATTTGAACACACACTCTTTTTATATCTTTAGAGAATTTACATAGCTGTTTTTCTCAACGTAAAAGTTTAATGTTTTAAATAGATGTATTTGAAATATACATGAACAGAACAGGATAGGGCATCTTTCTACTCAGAAAAAGAGGGGGGAAAGTTCACCAAACACTTGTTTTTTTCCTTTTACAAAACTAGAAATAAATTTGAAAACACTAATGCATGATGGGCAAGGCAGAAATTATACAACACTACCATAAACAGATTATTTGAATAATAATTAAATAAAAATAAATGACCGTGTGATGATGTCCGTATGCAATGTTAGAGATAAAAGAGTGAGAGGGGGGTAGGTGCGGGATTGACCGACCCCTACATCCTTCCCCTTCACGCACACACCATCCCCTCAAGACTTCTCACGTTCCATTTCCTCGTCAAAATCCTAAACCAACCAACTAATATATAAACCCTTTCATCAGCTTCACGTTCCCTTCTCCAAAAGAGAACAACACCAAACTTATAAGCCCCCAAAGCCAAATTCAAGCAACTAAATTTCTTCTTAATTCCACTTTAGTCCCCTAACATGCAGACCCTCACTCCAACGTCCTCAAACCCTCTCAACTATCTGAACCGGGCGCGTTACTCAGTTATTCGGGTCGGAACGACCCGATTTACAGTCAAATGCGGCCACGGCTACGAATCCGCGAGTTTCTCGCAGGGATTCGGCGCCAGCCGAGCCGATTGGCAAAGCTCCTGCGCCATCTTAGCCAGTAAAGTGTTTTCGCAGCAGGGCGATTCTCCTGCGGGGGGCGGCGGCGGCGGCGACCATGTTGGCGCCGTCAACGGCAACAACGCCGCCGTAACGAATCTAAATCTCGTACCTGTGAAGCGCGACGGTGACAACAGCAAGCCGCTCCCGCCGAAGCCGCTGACGATCTCCGACCTAGCTCCGGCGCCGATGCACGGCTCGCAGCTGCGCGTGGCGTACCAGGGCGTTCCCGGCGCGTACTCGGAGGCCGCGGCGGGGAAGGCGTATCCGAACAGCGAGGCGATACCGTGCGACCAGTTCGAAGTGGCGTTCCAGGCGGTGGAGCTCTGGATCGCGGACCGCGCGGTTCTCCCGGTGGAGAACTCCCTCGGCGGCTCGATCCACCGCAACTACGACCTCCTCCTCCGCCACCGCCTCCACATCGTCGGCGAGGTCCAGCTCCCGGTGCACCACTGCCTCCTCGCGCTCCCCGGCGTCCGCAAGGAATTCCTCGAGCGCGTCATCTCGCATCCGCAGGCGCTGGCGCAGTGCGAGCACTCGCTCACGAGGCTCGGCCTCACCGTGGCGCGCGAGGCCGTAGACGACACGGCCGGCGCCGCGGAATTCGTCGCCGCGAACGGCCTCCGCGACACGGCGGCGATCGCGAGCGCGCGCGCGGCGGAGCTGTACGGCCTGCAAGTCCTGGCGGACGGAATCCAGGACGATCCGAGCAACGTGACTCGATTCGTGATGCTGGCGAGAGAACCTATCATTCCGCGCACGGATCGGCCGTTCAAGACGAGCATCGTGTTCGCGCACGATAAAGGAACTTCGGTTCTCTTCAAAGTCCTGTCTGCGTTCGCCTTTAGGAACATCAGCTTGACGAAGATCGAGTCTCGGCCTCACCGTAGCCGTCCGATTCGCGTGGTGGAGGATGACGAGAGCGAGGGAACTGCGAAGCACTTTGAGTATTTATTCTACATCGATTTCGAAGCTTCCATGGCCGAGGTTAGGGCGCAGAACGCCCTCGCTGAGGTTCAGGAATTCACCTCTTTCTTGCGGGTGTTGGGGAGTTACCCTATGGATATGACACCGTGGAACCCTTCCTCTTCTTGTCCCCAGGAAAGTTAGTTAACATTTCGCCGCTTCTGCAATGCCCTATCCGTCGTTCTGAATTTTTCATTCTGTTAAGAAAAACGACGTCGTTTTTGTTTTCACTTTTCATTTCCCTTTTACCGTGTATATTTCATTTTTGAGTTTCACACTTCAGTTTAGTAGTGTATTGGGACCTGGCAGCGTAAATACTGTCGTTTAATTATTTATAAAGTGATTTTTAATTAGATAATAATATGTGAAAATTAAATTATTTTTCTTTGTTAAAAATTGTTAGATTCAAAGGACTCGCATTTCACCCATTTGTTAGGAAGTGGATGCACTAAGGTCTAGGGTGGTAAAAAAAAAAGGAGTTAAAGTGTGGTTGCTAGATAAATATTTTTGTGTCACCAAAAATGTCTTGATGTGTTTGGTGTTTCCCACTTTCCGTGGGGGTGAAGGATATTTTATGTTTTTGCACGTGTAAAATGCTGTACTGGAGAGGGATAGAATATTCGGCTTGGCATCTCACTGTACTAGGTATTTTTAAATTCAGTCTTGTATTTTACTAATGTGAATGAATATACATGATGGCTAACTTACAAATATAATATTTTTTGCTGCATAATTTATGTTAGAGAATGAATTTATTTATCTTTTTTACTAGAATAAATTTTTCCATTAAGCATTATTTATGTGGATAGAAGTTGTTGACATTATTATGTCATGTCAATAAATGAAATGTAAAATGTTACAATAACATAAATTAAAAAAGAAAAAGTTAAGTGCTAAGAATATTTTATAACACTTTCTTAGCTTTAAAAAAAACACTTTTTTAACATATTCTTTTAATTGCTTAGGGCAAAGACGATTTTTATACTTGATAGAATCATGATTTGGACTCAACATTTGTAATTTTTATTCAAATTTAACATGCAACTCACAAATTCAAATATATATATATATATATATATATATAATCACTTCAAAATGATAAAAAAAAGATCACCACATGTAACCACCAATTTTCAAATTTCTATAATTTTCTTCTCCAACAACTAGAAAGAAATTTTTTATAAAAAAAACAATAATTTTCAGTCTTCAATTCAATAGCATGATTACAATTTGATGAATTTAGATAATAATTCACACATACAACACAATAAGATAAAATATACAAGCTTCCTTTACTTCAAATCACTAATGCTTTGTTTGGGAGAGGGGGGAATATAAGAAAATGAGGGAGAATATGTGAGGATTGACTTGATAAGAAATGAGTAGGAAATATAATGGAATAAAGTGAAATTTGTAATTGTTTGATAGATTGAAATTAAGTAAGAAATAGAATGAAGTTAGTATTTATAATTACTATTTTATCCTCATCCTACAATATAGTTTAAATTATTATCTTTTTACATATCGTAATTTTACATATTTTATAAATTTCATAATAATCCTCTCAACGAATAACGTATAAAAAATAATGTAAGACTCATTTATAATTTCTCTCAATTTTTCTTAAATGCACTTCACTAAATATGATTTTTTTTTTTTACAAATATGCTCTAATCCACTATAATCCTTTCTCTTCCCATTAAATCATTTCCACCAAACAAAGGGTAAGACAAGAGGTAGAAGAAAGATGAATACTAAAAAATGCTACTTTGAGCTCTCACCGCATCACGACCCTGATCCTAATTCTTAGCACTTTAAACTTCGAATTTTCAATCTAACACCACCACTCAACTATAAGAACGAGTTTGAATATTTATACAAAATCAAAAAAAGAAAAATAATTTATTTAACTCCAAAGTTTATCACTTTAATTTCTCTCTAAATTTTTTAAGAAAATTTTATATATTTTTTCCTAAATTTGGTCAATAATGATATCAACTCTTAAATAACTAATAAGAATTATTCAATTCTTAGAATTTTAAAATATTAAATTAATAAATCACATAAATCATTCACGTAATAAAATTAAGTAAACAATTATATAATTTACCGTGTTACATCTCGCCTTAAAGTATTTAGTACACAATTAAGTTTATAAATTCACAATCTGAGATCAGGAACTCTAGTTACGCCAATCCTTATTTGAAGTTAAAATTGGTCATGCCCCCTCGATTGTGCCCAGAGACGTAAAGGAGACATGCTCGTGAGACCAATATTGAAAACATTGCATTGCCATCTTGTCAAGAAGCAAGAGAATCTTAAGATATTGCACGTTTTGTTTAGATAGTTATGTTATTCGTACAATAATGCAAAATATACAATTATAGAAAAATGCTAGATCATGCATATTCCCTTCGACTAATTAAAAAAGCTTTTTTTCTTTTTAATTAAAATTTATATTTTATAATTAAAAAACTATAAACGTCAATCACAATTAATTCGAAACAGCTTTCGATTAAAATTTCAATGGATGCATAATTGCTCGTAATTATTTAAAGAACATGTCCATTTAATAATGAGTAACTTTTACACGCAAGACTAATTATTTTTATTAAGAGTATGTTGCTTAAAAATAAAATATTGTTTTTGTATGTCACATATAATTTTGAGTTGTTTAAAATAAAATAAAAAAGTTTTTTATATAAATAATTTTTTTATTGTGAATTATTTATTATGTATGTGTTTGTGAAAGAGAGAAAATATGAAATATAGAATAAAGAGATAAATATTTATGAATTTAAATGAGTTGTTCAAATGTGACACGACAATAAAAGATTCAATAAAGTAAAATAAGACACATGATTAAATGATTTAGATCGTAAATATTCTCAAAAAATTTCTTTTAATTGTGTTTTTTTCATCTAAAAATTGAGTTTAATTTTACATGAACTAAACTTATTTATAAATACGGTAGATTCAGATTAATTCATTTAAATATTATTAAAATATCAATTAGTATTATTTTTATTTAAATAAATATTCATATGTTTGATTTTGTATTTAGATTGAAGCTTCATACCTGATTTTATGTGGATGGGGGTTTAAGTAGTTTTTTTGTTAGATAAAAATTATAAAATGTTCTATACCAATTTTTATTTCTTAATTATTTTTAAATTAAAACATTCAAATATAAATCATATTACTTCACAATCAATTTTAATCAAAATCAATTATACGTAATTATTTTATTCAAAATCAATTTTACACTCATTCACCAAAATACATACACACCCATTATCGTGGATGTGATTGGACCTTAGACTCAAGTAATCTCGCTAGCTATTTTGGCCATGTCTCCCTTAAGTTGTTTGAGAATTACGTTTAAAATATCTTCATTTTGTTTTAAATATTTTAACCTTAGCTATATTAACAAAAGTATGAACCCACTCAAAGAATAAATGAATGTAAAAGATCTTTTTCAAAAATATTGTTTTAAAACTTTTTCACGAAAAAAAAACATTTTTCAAAATTAACAAATTCAATTTGCACTTGGTTCTGTTAGAAATTTTATTTCTAATAATTATTGTGGACTACATATATTATTTGTAGTATTTATATTAATTATTTACATTTAGTTGAGCACAATAAAAGTGATCTAATTTTAGTGAACCTTTAGACTGCCAACAGAAAAAAAATTATATGAGCCCAAATAAGTGAAAACCAGATTTGGCCCGTTAAAAGTTAATGAGAACCCTAATAGGTTTAAAATCATAAAAATGGTCATGGTCTCTAATATGTCAAATCAGAAACACATATCTCTATCTCCTCATCAGAAAAGTAATATCAAGTCCCGTTAAGGAATTTAGTGATTTGGCCGAGGAAGATCATTGCACCAAAAGACTATTCTACTGTAACCTTTTGATTAACGTCAATGGATACAGGTCCCTATTATTAACATTAACTCTATAATCTGAGATAACGGTTCTTAATATTGATTAATGGATAATTTCTATATTTGATTTAAGAAATTTATCCCAACACTATATTCATTACTCACGACACATCTATACACATTTTCACCTCAAATATTTAAAACATGCAAAAGCTACTTCAGCTTCAAAACGACACGCATGGAATGATTCAAATCCTTTACCTCACATAACCAAACATGCATGCCTCCGGTTGGTGAAACATTTGGTGCACGTTTGATTCTTTAAGTAGGGAGTTTATGAAAAATACTTAAAAATGATTTTTTTTTGTCAAAATTGATTTTAAAGTGATGTAATTTATATTTAAATATTTATAATTTAATGAATGACAATAATAAAATATAAAATATTTTTTATTTAAAATAATTTTAAGCCAAAATCAATTTCTTGATTCATTTTCTTGTTACAACATGGTACATTTGGAAGTCCAAGAACATTGAAGTATTTCTAGATATAGTTTGGTAACATTAGTTTATTATCAATCAAAATACTTGATTAATGACATTATTTATTAGTCTTCGAGTATCAAGACTTTATATGATAGGATAAAATCCATCTCCAAAACACTTTGTTAAGTTGAATACATATGGTAACTCGGAAGGAAACCCAAATCTTTCCAATTTTGGAGGAGTTTTCAGAGATTAACTCAAGAATTGGATAAAATGATATGCATATTTGTGTGATTTTACTTCAAATACAAATATTAGCAATTTTTCATGATTTGTCTATTTCTAAATATAATATGTAAATATCATATTTACAAGTGATCATTTCTCTTATCAATTAGGGAGTTTCATTGATTCACCCTTATGCTCCTTTAAATTCTAAAATTAGAGTTTTCTCCGATCTATCATGGAATTTTTCTTTCCATCATTTTTTTCGTGAAAAGAATAAAATACCATATTCTCTTGCTAAGATTGGGAATACCTTGTTTAACACTTTAATCGTATAACTTTCTTGTCTTACTCATATATCTTCATTGTTGTGGGGAGATGACGAAGACTTTGTATTAAATGATAGTTAATTTACTTTCTTTTCTCTTTTGTTGTTTCTATTTCTCACTAATTCAAAATCAATTATACATTGTTTCGGCTATAAAATTTTATATTGTTTAAAAAGTTAAAAATAATGGTAATTGAGAGTTATTTTCACTATGCTTTATGATTATATGAAAAATGCGAGATTATTTGAGTGAACCGATTGAGAAAGAAAAATTATTGTAAGTTTAATTTCACAGTAGATAACTTATACTTGACTAGATTCTGTAATTTTTCTTTATTCGCGTTAGAAAAAATTTACATAAAATTTTGGGATTATTCTTTTACTTTTTATCGTTATGCTTACTTCCGCCTATTTTATATTTACAGACGTGATATTAGAAAATAATTTT